GGAGCATGTCCCTGCAGTGGGGCAATGCCTCTGCCTCTTCCCTTCCAGCCCTGCTCCTGCTCTACGATATCACCAGCAAGATGTCCTTTGACAACATCCGCGTGAGTCCCCTCCGCCGGTCGGGAGCATGTTTCTCCCTGGGCATTGGGGTCGTGGGCGCCCTGCATGGCTTGCTGCGTGTTTGGGGCAGTTTGAAGCTTGTTTTGCATGCAAGCATGGGCTGTTCTGGCCAGAGCCATCCGGCTGGGAGCTCGGCCCCGGGGCACCTGGCTGGGCGCTGCACGGCTGGGTGAGTTTTGTTTAGGGACATGGTAAATGGCTGGAGGAGAAAACACGGTTTGGGATGGACGTGAACCGTGTGTAGGCTTGGGCCGTAGCCAGGAGACGGGGCATTTTCAGGACTGTTCGTCTGTGATGCTGGAATGGTTCCCATGCCAAAAAAAAAAGCCATTTTCCCGGTCTTTGTGGGGGGCGTGCGGGCTGAGAGGGGAGGGACAGGGGGACCACTTGCCCCGACACAGCCCCACTGCCCCGCAGGCCTGGCTGACGGAGATCCACGAGTACGCCCAGAAGGATGTGGTCATCATGCTGCTGGGCAATAAGGTGCGTGCAGGGTCCCCCTTCACCCCACGGTTTGCTGTGCCGTGCCATGCCGTGCCGTGCTGTGCCGGTCTGGCCCTGCCCTTGCCATCCCCGTGGCTGTGGAGGGATGGGGCTCGGTGGGCGCTCTGCCAGCTGGCTGGGTGCACCGTGCCTGCACTCTCCACCAGGCTCTGCTGATTTATGGGCTCAGCCAGGCCCAGAGGTGACCCCAGAGGTTTGGGGTGTCAGAGTGGGCACAGTGTCCCCAGCAGCCTGTTGGGGCAGCACGAGGCTGAGGCTCCCAGTACGGGATGCTGCTGGGTACAGGATGCTACTGGGTATGGGATGCCCACCCAGGTCCTGGATGCACCCCCAGATCCCAGGTAACCCAAAGTCCCAGATACCCAACCAGGTCCCAGATTCTCTCCAGGGGTCCCAGATGCTGCCGGGTGCTCAATGCCTGACTAGGTATCAGATCTTCCCCTGGGGCTGGATGCCCCTGAATCCTGGATGATGCTGGGTACTTGATGTCCAGCAGGGTACCAGAAGCTCTCCTGGGTCCTGGGTGCCCCCTGGTACTGGATGCTGCTCCAGGTCCCCAGTGTCCCCAGGTCCCAGATGCCCCCCCCCACGTCCTTGATGCTACCAGGTCCCAGATGCTCAACAGGTCCCAGATTCTCCTCTGGGTACTGGATGTTCCCAGGTCCCTGACACCCCCCAGTTCCTGGCAGCCCCCTGCGCACCCCACACTGCCTGCTTGCCAGATGCCCCCAGGGTGCCAGCTGGCCCTGGTACGCGGTGACACTTTCCTTCCCTTGGCAGGCTGATGTGAGCAGTGAGAGGGCTGTGAGGACGGAGGATGGAGCATCGCTGGCCAGGGTGAGCCGTGGTCTAACCCAGCTGCAGCCCCCCCAGACAATTGCACATCGCTCAGGGTCCCCGTGCAGCCATGCCATCCCCACTGATGGGTGCCCAGACGTGCCTGGCTCTAGCACGGCCAGCGTGGCAGCTGCTTGCACGCAAAACCTGGTGCAAGGCAGGGGAGGGATGGCACCTTGTCCCCAAGCCTGGACCAGGTGGCAGGGACAATTCAGAGGGGCAGGAGGGCATTTTGGGGCTGGCCACTGACGGGGCCATGCTGCTCTTGCAGGAGTATGGGGTGCCTTTCATGGAGACGAGTGCCAAGACAGGCATGAACGTGGAGCTGGCCTTCCTGGCCATTGCCAAGTGAGTACCCGGGGGACCTGGGCGAGGGAGGTGTCCCCCCAGCCCCTCCGCCTCCTGCACCAGCACTGGAGCGGGCGGAGGGTGTTAATGCAGCCCCACCACCCCAGGGAGCTGAAGCAGCGCGCGGTGCAGCCGCTGGATGAGCCCCGCTTCCAGATCCACGACTACATCGAGTCGCAGAAGAAGAAATCCAGCTGCTGCGCCTTCGCCTGAGAGCGGCCGGGAGGAGCCGGCAACCCTGGGGGCGCAGGCAAGCGGCAGGCAGACTGGGGGCCCAATCCTGCCCTCAGGCACCTGAGGGAACCAGGCTGTGACAAGCCAAGCGTGGACAGGACAATACGGCGGAGCAGAGCGTGCATGAGGGGAGCCATCACCCCGGCGCCAGGACCCACGGGCTGGATCCTGCTGCCCTGCAGGGCAATGCCTGGAGCTTGCTGTGTGCCACTGGGGCAATAACCGCAGTGTGGTGACTGCCAGCCTGGCCAGCAAGGCACGGTGATGCCTCCCTCACCTGAGCAGGATGCAAGATACGGCCCTGCACCTAGCTAAGGGCCCCTTGGAGTGGCTGGAGGGGCCGTGTGTGTGCCATGGATGAGCCCCCATGCAGCCCCCGGCCCTCTCCTCCCCTGCAGCCACCCCTGCTCTCGGCGCTGCTCTCATCCAGCTGGAAGGGCCTGATCCAGCCCCCCCATTCCCAGTGCTGCTGGGCTCTGGCTTCCCTCCAGGGAACCTCAGCTCTGCTCCCCAGGCCGCCCCACGCCCGGTTGCAGCCGGTGCCCACACTCGGCCATGGCTCCTCGCTGCTGCCGTCAGCTTTTATCCTCCTGCCACCACGAGGGCAGCGATATCCCTGTTGTGTCCTGGTTCTGCTGGAGGGAAGGACCAGGATGGAGAAGCGTCCAGCCAAGCCTGCTCCCTGCCCGCACAGCTGGCGTGAGAAATAAAACTGCCCTGGGATTGCCCGAGCGATGCTTGAGGTACTTGAAGCACACACAGCAATTTGGAAAAACCTTTATTTCCCGCCTCTTGTAGCCACAGGAATTAGAGACTTTTTTTTTTTTAATGAGAAAAGCCTTTTTCTTCTCAATCCCTCCAGGCAAAACCATCTCTGGCCTCACACAGGCTGGAGCTGGTGGGGTGGAGGTGCCCATGGTGGCCTGGGGCTGCCGTGCCCGCCGGCGCCCAGGGTGGTCTGGGTTTCTCTCCCATCGCTGCACACGTAACGCGACTGTTTCTTCCTGCCGCTGGCAAACAGCAGCTGAAACCTACTCTCTGAAGAGCAGATGCCTGAGATGCTTCAGCCAGCAAACACTGCTACGTTGGCCCAGTGGGCACCGGCGGGGCACAGGGTGCAAGGCTCTGGTCCCATGTTGCTGCACATCCCCGGTGTTCAGCCTGGCCCTGCCGACTCCTGTGGCATGCTGCCGGCTCCCCCGAGCACTATGTAGGGCAGTGAGACAGGGAATATTTGGTTATGTAGCTGAAGAGCTGTTGCGAAAGGCAGCTGCAGAGGGCATGGCAGTGCTGCACGTGGGAGTCGGGGACCGGACGGCACATCCACCCCTGTCGGCATCTTCCCTGGCCCTGCACGCAAGCTGCTTGTCTCTCACCAGCCCCGGTGCCTCCTTCACCTCTGCTCTGCTCCTGGGTCTCTCTTTGCAAGTTTACAGATTAAAGCTGGGTATTTTTGAGGCTTTGCATCTGCCTGTTTTTTTTATTGCGTGAGAAAAACCTGCCCTGGGTCTGCAACATGGGAGGCTGCTGCACCCAGGCACTGCAGAGCGGCGGGGCCAGGGGGCCCTGGGAGCAGCCATGGGGAGGGGGAAGCACCCCCGGCCCCTTCCTCCCCGCTGGGGCTTTAGTTGCACATTTCAGACAGTCCAAAGGTGAGGGGGGAAGAGTAAACACAGCCTGTTAAATTAAAACCAACCTCCTCCCCTGCTGTTCTCATGGTGCGGAGTCCAGCATTCCCCAAATAACTCCGTCTTCCCACCAATGGCATCGCTGCTGCTGCTTGGCTGATGTCTGCAAAAAATGCTGGATGGCTTCAACACAAACAGACGTCGGCTCTTTTCTGCTTTCCCCCCTCCAGTCTGAGCTCCCTTAACGTGACTCTGAGCTAAAACCAACCTCCTCCCCTGCTGTTCTCATGGTGCGGAGTCCAGCATTCCCCAAATAACTCCGTCTTCCCACCAATGGCATCGCTGCTGCTGCTTGGCTGATGTCTGCAAAAAATGCTGGATGGCTTCAACACAAACAGACGTCGGCTCTTTTCTGCTTTCCCCCCTCCAGTCTGAGCTCCCTTAACGTGACTCTGAGCCAGAAAGGGCCCTGGCAGGAGGAGGCAGCGGGGGTGCGATG